CCTTGGAACTCAAAATACGAATTTGCATATTATGACGTCAGCATATTTATGTAAAATTTATTGTATCTCTGTAAATATTGATCAATTTTCTTCAAAATTTCGATATGTTGTAGCTAAGACAATTCTCTACAAGCGCAGTAATAACCATTTTTCATTTTGATGACGTCATCATAGTGAAAATTTTGATTAAAGGCCTCATGTCAAAAACTTCATAATTTGCGTGTTATGCCTATAGAAGGTGAATTTAGTTCACGTTATGAATCTACATGATATTGTCTTTTAAGAATTTGTAAGCAGTATGTCGCTTATTTTTGCTCTATTTTGTCTCAAATGTTAGTTGACCAGCCCACCTATACTTGTTCCAAACAAGTATTATATGTCTAGTTTATTTTTATTTCTCCGCACTTTTTTGTTAACAGGATAACTCAAGATCAATTCAATCAATTTCGTTCAATTTTAGCACAGTCATAGGTCATTGTTATGAGACGTGACAGTAACATTTTCAAGGTCATCAAATCTTCATGACGTCATCCAGGCGCCATTTTGTGTTTTTTTTGGTACTTTCAACTCATGATCATATCTTCATAACGGAATGGCATTTCTTATTCATATTTATCATGACTAAGGTCAATATCCGTCCGGTCAATTTCAGGTCAAAAAACGCGCGCGCATGCGTACATCCGCGCGTCAGCGCACGCGCAAAAAATAAAAATGCTCCAAATCGTCTCAAATTAATTTTGCATACGTTTCAGGCCATTTTAAGCATTTTGCAAAAAAACGCGCACACGTGCATGGGCGCGCGTTTTCGCGCGTACTGATATTTTACAACATAGAATCGCTGAATTTTTTCTGTCATCATATTTGACACATTTTACCATGCATTTTGATACCTTGTTCAACTTTTTCTGACCAGTAATAACGGAATGAGCGTCCGTTTAAGATAATGTCCGTGCGTGCGAGCTCTCGTAATACATAGCATACATGGGCAAAAACATGCCTATACAAAATCCATTGTAGCGCTTTAGGATGCAAGGTGACCCCAATTTCGTTTTCATATTTTGCGTGTATTCTCTATGGGACATGACTTTTTCTCAAAACTGGATTCTACATTCTCGTCTTTCGAGAGCAATATCTCCGTCGTTTTATTTTTGTTTACGCTGAGCTTTGAGTATGTTGCAGCTGAGACAATAAGCTATCACAAGTGTGCCCTTTATTTTTCGATCAGATGCCGGGATCATGCTCATATCTCACTTGCAAAGAGGGATTTGAGAATTCCATTTTCCATTTACGTGTATTCTCTATGGGAAATGTTTTGGTATATCGGTAACGCACTTGACTTCCGACCTCGAGGTCCCTGGTTCGAGTCCGGGCGTCTCCAACAATTTTTTTTCTTCATTTTTTTTTCTTTTTTGACTTTTCAATGATCATAAAATTGAAAACAGACCACCTAATGAGATTTGAGTATTCTCCCATTTACTGGAGAATTTATGTGAACTCTTTCGTAGAAGTATCGGTGTGGTACGTTATCTTTCTTGGGTGTGAGGTTTATTTCCGTTGAATAGACGCCGAAAGTGAATGGAGTATTCGCATGTAGCTCGCACTCCTCGTATACTTACTCTACATATTAAGGAGTATTTACTATCGTAATTTTTACCGTATGATTATACCCAAAGTAGTCTTTATTGCCTTTATTTTTGTTTTTTTAGTAGAACAAGCAAATGTTCCCTTACTCCCTTTCGTATTGCCTTTTATTTGTTCAATTTTTTTTTTTTTTTTTTTTTGGGGGGGGGGTATGCTTGGAGACGGTGACCAGTGAATGGTGTGCCTACCGGGCCCAGCCCGTTTAACTGTAGGTGAGCGGCATGGCCAGTCAGATGCTCTTTTAAAAATGTGTATGTACATGTATGTATGTTAGGGCATAATGTAGTTAATTTCTGGCTGGGAGATGGTGACGTGTGAATGATGAGCCTACCGGGAACTGCCCCTTAAAAAGTAGGAGAACGGCACGCCCAGTCAGATGCTCTTTTTTGATTGAATGAATGAATGTATGTTAGGGCTTAGTATAGTAAATGTATGTGTGTTAAGGCAGAGCACAGTTTTTTTTTTTTTGTGTGTGTTTTTTTTTGTGTGTTTTTTTTTGGGGGGGGGGTTGCAGGGGGGGGCTCGGAGACGGTGACCAGTGAATGGTGTGCCTCCCGGGCCCAGTCCCTTTAACTGTAGGTGAGCGGCATGGCCAGTCAGATGCTCTTTTTAAAATGTGTATGTACATGTATGTATGTTAGGGCTTAATGTATTTAATTTGTGGCTGGGAGATGGTGACCTGTGAATGATGAGCCTACCGGGAACTGCCCCTTAAACTGTAGGAGAACGGCACGCCCAGTCAGATGCTCTTTTTTTATTGAATAAGTGTATGTTAGGGCTTAGTGTAGTTAATGTATGTATGTGAAGGCAGAGTATAGTTTTTTTTGTGTGTGTGTTTTTTCTTCTTTTTTTGGGGGGGGGGGGTGGCGGGGGGGGAGCTTTGAGACGATGACCTGTGAATGGTGTGCCTACCGGGCCCAGCCCCTTTAACTGTAGGTGAGCGGCATGGCCAGTCAGATATGCTTTTTAAAATATGTATGTACATGTATGTATATTAGGGCTGAATGTAGTTAATTTCTGGCTGGGAGATTGTGACCTGTGAATGATGAGCCTACCGGGAACTGCCCCTTAAACTGTAGGAGAACGGCACGCCCAGTCAGATGCTCTTTTTTGATTGAATGAATATATGTTAGGGCTTAGTGGAGTAAATGTATGTATGTTAAGGCAGAGTAATGTTTTTTTTTGTGTGTGTTTTTTCTTTTTTTCTTTTTCCCCTTTTTTTTTTGGGGGGGGGGGGCGCTGGGAGACGGTGACCAGTGAATGGTGTGCCTACCGGGCCCAGTCCGTTTAACTGTAGGTGAGCGGCATGGCCAGTCAGATGCTCTTTTTAAAATGTGTATGTACATGTATGTATGTTAGGGCTTAATGTAGTTAATTTGTGGCTGGGAGATGGTGACCTGTGAATGATGAGCCTACCGGGACCAACCCTTTAATTGTAGGTGAACAGCACGCCCAGTCAGATGCTCTTCTTATTAAAATTGTATATGTTAAGGCAGAGTGAAGTAGGTTTTTATCTTGGGGGGGGGGGGGGACAGGGAAATGATGAACTATTAATGATGAGCATACCGGGCCCTGCCCCTTATGGAGCTCTCACACTCTGCCGTGTAGGCCTACCGTCCACCTGCCGGGCTATTAAAAAACAACAGAGTCCAGAACGTTGGGTTTTGAGCGAACTTGTCCCCGGCCGCAAAAAAAAATTCATAAAATTAATCTTTTCACCGTTTCGTTGCCATCTTCTGGCCGTTTCCATACCGGACCCATACCGGGTCTCGAACGTGTGCACCGGGTTTGTAGCAGCCACCTACCAGTCACTTAGCGTCCCCTCACCCCTCGGAGCGTCCTGTGAGCGAGTCCCCGGACTGCTGACGACATGACAAGAAAAAGTAAAGCTCATCTGACGAAACCCCTCTATATATACCCAATAATTAGTGACAAACGGTGGCACACGGTGACAAAAGTAAATTTGTTGGTAATGGCACGTTCATATGACGCTACTGTGAAGGTAAGGACACGTTATGGACCCGTTATAGGACGTTATGGGAACGTCAAGGCGTTAACAGGATGTTACTTATGCATTAGGGAGGCGGCGCCGTCAGAATCATGCGGTACCGCTTTGGAAACACCCGTTGGCAGTCCGGTATGAACACTGTAATGAGGACGGTATGAATACGTTATGAAGACGGTGGCACGGTATCAACACGTTCATGACACGTTCACAACCCGCTTACAACCCGTTGCAGAAGGTGGATTGTTTTTGCCCGTTCATCACCGTTCTGTAACGGGTTATGAGCGTGTTGTGAACGTGTTCATACAGTGTGACCGTTTTCATAACGTATTCATACCGTCCTCATACCGTTCAACACCGTCCTCTTGCCGCTTACTTGCGGCCGGTGCCAGTCGGCCAAAGTTTTGAACATGCCCAAAACTTTCGCCGGGTCCCACCGGGTGTAAATAAGCGCCAACGCCCTATTAACGTGTTGCCCGCTTTGATAACGAACCACCGTGTGCCCTCGCCGTTCTTCACCGTCCGCAGACATTTTCGCGCACGGTGGCACACGGTAGGCCTACACGGCAGAGTGTGAGAGTCACTTTAAACTGTAGGTGAACGGCACGCCCAGTCAGTTGTTCTTTTTATTAAAAGTATATATGTGAGGGGGGACTGGGAGACGGTGACATGTGAATGATGTGCCCACCAGGCCGAAATTGGCCCCTCACTTGCTTTGTTTATTTCATCTATTCTGCAGGTTAGGGCTTAGTATAGTTTCCGGCGGTAGATGGTGACCTAGCTGTGGATGATGAGCCTACCGGGTCCTTCCCCTTAAACTGTAGGTGAACGGCACGGCCAGTCATATGCTCTTTTTTTTAAATTTGTATGTATGTATGTTTAATATGGGTCAGTGTAGACAATTTCTAACTGGGAGACGGTGAACTGTGAATAAGCCTACCGGGCCCGTACCCTTAATCTGTAGGTGAACGGCACGCCCAGTCAGTTGTCCATTTTATTACAAGTATGTATGTTAAGGCAGAGTGAAGTGGGGTTTTTTCGGGGGGGGGGGGGGGGGACTCGGAGACGTTGACATGTGAATGGTGTGCCCAGTCAGATGCTCTTTTTAAAAATTTGTATGTATGTATGTAAGGGATATAATAGTGTATGTAATTTCTGGCTGGGAGATGGTGACCTGTGAATGATGAGCCTACCTGGCCCAGCCCCTTATTTATTTATTTATTTATTCCGTTTTATCTGAAGGTGAGTGGCATGGCCACTCACATGCTTTGTTTTATTTAATCTTTTGTGTAGGTTAGGGCTTATTGTATTTATTTCTGGCTAGGAGACGGTGACCTGTGAACGATGAGCCTACCTGGCCCTGCCTCGTCAAATTTTAGGTGGACGTAGAGCACGCCCATGTTTAAGATGTTTTATTAAAATTATTTAGAAGGATATGTTCAGTCAGGTGCTGATACTTTGTTTTTTTCTTATAATGGCTCTTGACGCTTATTCAAATATAATGAAGTTAATAATTCGTCGTTAGGAGATGATGGCCTATGATTGAGGAACTTACCGGGCTCGGCCCCTTAAACTGTAGGTGAACAGCACGCCTAGTCAGAGTTTTTTTTAATATTTAGAAGGCTTTGTTCAGTCAGGTGCTGTTTTTCTTCTGTAGGCCCTTTAGGCTTAGTAAAGTTTAAAGAAGTTAATTATTGGTTGAGAGATGGTGGCCTGTGAATGGAGACCCTACCAGGCCTTGTCGCTTTTACTGTAGGTAAACGACACGCCCAGTCATCTATTATATGTGTTTTTCCCGTTCATTTATTAGCTGTAAGACTTCAATGGGGTGATTATTTTTTCTTTTAGGCTTGTGGAATTTAGTGTAGGTAATTCCTGGCTATGAGATGTGGCGTTTAAATAATGAGCCTACCCGGCCTATTCCTTAAACTTTAGGTGACAGACACGTGCAGTTAATTATTAGAATTTCTTTTTCTTGCTTTGTTTGGTTGCTGGTGGCCGAATCGGCCCCGGACACCTCTTTTGGCGGCCGAATACTTTTTAAGGGGGAAGGAGGAGCGACAGAAGAAAACAAATAGAGGTAAAAGTTTCTTTTTTAAATGGTAAAAGAGAAGAAGGGTGGAAAGGGAAAGAGAAAGAGCGAGAGAGAGAGAGAGACAGAGATAGAGAGAGAGATAAAAAAAAAAAAAAAGAACATGGAACTTAAATTAACACTTACAGATTACATTGTTGATGAGTTGGATCGACATCTGTCAAGCAACGAAGACTGTGAAAAAAGTAAAACATTTCATGATTTTTTTTTGATTTTTTTATATGAAATTGCTTTTATAAGAGAAAAAGAGATGAATTCAAATGAAATGATTAGGACTATATGAACATTTCATCTCTAGTTACGGCCAGCTTGGAGGTTCTAAAATGTTAAAAACTCAAGAGCGCACGGGGGCTCCGACCCTGGAACCCGGCAGGGCATCTGCCCCTGCGGGCCCCTTGATATATTAGTGGTTCCCAAGACAACCCTTTGTTCTTCAAACTTGTCCTTAGGAGAAAGAGGTTGTGTGCGTGTGTGTGTGCATGTTTAAAGGTTATGGCAGAATGTAATAGTCAAGTTTGAGCTAAGGGAATTGAGGTCTGTCGACTGGGCAGAATATTCATTTAGGGTTGTCCGGTAATATCCCACGAATCCCACGCTAGGCAACCGATAGCAGCCATATAACATCATCAATTTTTATGATTTATTATCCATAAAATGAGTTAAATTAGTCCAGACACTAACTTGAATCTGCAGTATTCATCGTCTGAATCCAGTGAAGGTGATATTGATCAGTAGCGTACGCAGGATTTTTTTCAAGGAGGGGGGGGGGGGTTAAACTTTGAAAATCGCGCCGAAAATAAGCGGTGGGGGGGGGGGAGGGAGAGGTATGAGCACTTTTTTCCGAAAATTTGAAAATCATGCCGACCGATGTTTCGTTTAGTCAGTGGGGGGGGGGAAGGTTTTTCCCCCTTTTTTATACATTTGATAACAAGTTAGGGGGGTTATCCTCCGATACCCACACATTAAAAAAAATTGAGAGGGGTTTACCCCCCCCCCCCCCCCCCGTCTGCGTACGTACCTGTTATTGATGGTATGTAGATGGGCCAGTTATCAATTTATTGTAATTTATTAACTAGAAATACGTGTTTACATGTCGACTTTGTTTGATCTTGAGTGGGTAGATTCCACCGATGTAATGTACCAACGCGGATTATGAATTTGTTTACCAGACTAGACAGCAGAGTTCGCAGTCGGAAGCCAGTGGAGAAGACGAGTGTTTTTTTTCATCGGAAAAGGGCTAAAAATAATAATTGAAAAGGCTTAAGGTAATATTACAACAAAGAAGGTTGTGAAATTTGTTTCAAGAAGCCTCCACTGACCAATATACGAAACAAACAATGAGTGATGTTTGATTTTATGTGATTTTGTTGGTTAGTGCGATTTGAGCACGAATGATGACCGGCAATAGCGATCGTAATATTACTTACATATTGTGTTAATTTTTCATCAATTTCTTTCATCTGTATAGTTTCTTTCGTCACTAAGTGAAAGTAGACATGAAACAAATTATTCAAAATAAATCAGGACCTCTTTCTGCACACCTGTCAATACAAAACCACAAAGGCCCACATTCTACTCTTACAAGATCGCAAATACTTTCGAGAAATCAAAACAACGCAATGACCCCATGTGTTATAATTTCGAACGTTTTAATAGGTGATGGACAAAACTATTGAAATTGCCTTAGGCTTAGGTTCAATATTTAGAAGTCTTTTCTGGTTGAACTTGACGCTAGGACTAAGTTCAAGTCTAACACAGGTATTAAACACTTGACATCGTCCATGCTTCCTTTTAAAATCGACATTGAACGAAGCTTTAAAAGGAATTGGTAACATTGTTCAGATGAGAGAAAGTGTTGCAGAGGTAGTGACTTCAATATTAGATGTACAATTAAAGATAATCTAAGAAGTTTGAGTGGAAACGGACCATTATTAATGATATAAATTGGGAAAAACTGATAATAAATAATAATAATATTTAATTTTTATATAGCGCTTAATGCAAATGTCTCTAAGTGCTTTACAAATATACTATTACCTGATCGATTCATTAATTCTCCCAACTATATTATTAATTTAATTACATTTTACGTGAATGTAAATCGTCACAAAGCAAAGAATTGGCTCTATATACCATTCCAGACATTGAAGTGTTGAAAGATTTTTAAAAGCCTGTCTTATGTTTTTTTTTTCATGGGAAAACGGTGGGGAAAATTCAAAAATGGTTGGGAGAATTGAATGTTAATCATTGTTAGAGGGTGTTGCACAGTAACACCTTCACTGACAACCATAGATATATTTGTGGTTTGAGAATTTGTTCAGGATTTTTTTGCATGTTAGAGGGTTAGTACAGTAGAATTAAGGAATATAATAAGTAATATTTCATACAAAAATTATGCAATTTTTTCATCAACTTTCAACAATGTTACCGAGTCACTTTAACCCAGTGTCAGGTTAATTTTGTTGCTGTAGAATACGTCCAAAGAGTGTTTGATACTTTTCAGCGTCATCCTGACAATGTAAAACGTGTGTGTCTAGCTCGACTAAAAGCATTAGAGAATTATGAATTAATTCTGATTTGAAACTCATCAGAATTTTTGACAGATTTACGATAGGTAGATTCATATTAGATTAGCTCAATAATGCTAAGAAAACTGATCGCAAAAACTTCACCAATAAAAAAACAATAAAAGGCAATTTTATTTTGAAGATTGATTTTACGTTATTCATTTCATATAATTATTGTTTGTACAATAAAAAATATAGTTGACAAAGTAAGATCAAAATTATGAAATAAAACAGGAACCTACTGGAAAGCATAGCTTGTTTTTGTAGGTTCCCAAGAATAAATATAATAATATAATAATAATAACATAATAATATATTATAATATAATATAATATAATGTAATAACCTTGTTAATAGAAATCATGTTTGAATTAGGCAATTCGTCATTTCCATGTTCGCACATTTCAAAAAATGACGTACAAGCATAAAAAAATTGCCTAAGATTTGTGTTTTCGAAAAAACTCTGCGTAGAAGGAGATAATACAAATGTAAAACATTTGGGGGGGTAGTCAGATTTGGTTTGGACGGGGGTGAGCCTCGAAACCTCGAAAAAAATACCTATTTTTCACAATTTTGGGGGTGTTTTGGGGGTGTTTGCATGGCAAGCACCCGGAAATTTTACAAATTTTTGAAATTTTGAGAAAACGGACCCATTTTTAATGGTATTGTTTGCTAAAAGTGGGTTTGGTTTGGACAGGGGAGTGCCTCGAAACCCCTACCCATTAAGGGGGCATTTTTCTCGAAAAAATCACTATTTTTCGCAATTTTGCGGTTTTTTTTCGGGTGTTTGCATGGCAAGCACCCGAAAACTTTGCAAAGTTTTTTGAAATTTTGAGAAAACGGACCCATTTTTAATGGTATTCTTTGCTAAAAGTGGGACCCAATGTTTAGGGTTTTTGTGTGAAAAAGTGACCCATTAGAGCGACACACCTCCGTATGTCCTAATATGTGACAAACACAACGCCACTAGGCTATCGTCGATCCAACAGTAAAAGTATTAAGAGAGGACCAGTAACTACGCCCTCTCACATTGCCTTGCGGAAATCGTCGAGTGACGATAGAAACGCCATTAATCACAACAACAACAACTAATTTATAGAATTATCCGAAATATATCTTGACTATGTCATCATGAGTATTTTTTTTTTTTTAACTCATCCGATTTGTTATGCTTCAGAAAAAAGCCTTAAGAATAATTTCCAATGTTATTTTTATCAGCACATCAACACAATACTCATAATTAATAATAATGATAATAATATTTAATTTTTATATAGCGCTTAAAACAAATGTCTCTGAGCGCTTTAAAAATATACTATTACCCCGGTCATTGGATTCAGTGCTTGTTTTTCTCTTTATAACAATCTTCCTTTTGCACTAAAATTCAGCCCATCATTTAATTCTTTTAAACGCCGTTAAAAATCCCATAACTGATATATATATATATATATATACATATATCAAATTTTTACAATGTTTTTTTTTTTAAATCATAGTTAGTGAAATAAATACGACATGAAATTAAATCTTTCGGGATACAATTAAAACCGTACCTCCTCGGTGATTTCGAGTCTATTTCGATATTACATTGTGCTTTAGTTTCAACCGTGCCCCTCAAAGCAGTCTGTATTCTAACTACTACGTCACAATGACAGTTTTAGGAGGTCATCCGTTATAATTTACGCCTTGATGCCTTGATGCACTGTATTCATTGTGTATTTTGACTTTGCCACAAATATTATTCAGGTTCTTTATGGTTTTAAAAAAGGGCAGAAGGATGAATATGATAGAAAAAAATCAAACATCAAGATGCATCATGATTTAAAACATATGTTAAAAGTTTATTGCTTAGATTTTCGACGTGCGAGCCTTTAGGATGTACGGAATCTGTTTCCAACTGTGCATTTGTCATGTCCCAGGCATCCATGAAACCGACGTTGTCATATGCCAAGACTTTGTTTCTCATCCTCCTATCCAGGTTCCTCGCAGTCCAGTCACTACATTTGAGGTAATGATCCAATCCATGATGTTCCCTGGTGTTAGCACTCTTCCAGACGACCAAGGTTCGTGGACTACGCTCCTGGAGACGTCTTACGGACTCCAATATGTCGTCGACACGCGCTTCGTAGTACCACGGCGGGAAAGTAGTAAAGTGCGCCCACAATGTCAAAACCAAAACAGTATTTTCTCCTCCCTTGACACGGTCAATCAGATTTGCTATGTACTCTATGATAGAAATGTTTGCCCATGCTCTCTTCCCAATTGGATGCCCGTGAAATTGGAACTGGAAATCGATGTTGTTTCTGCTGTCTTTTGCGATTGTGCGTCCGACGTACCACGGGTCCCCTTTCTTTGGTGCTGGATTGGTTTTTAATCCGAACAGTTTGACGTAAAATTCCATTAGCTGCCGCACGGTAGAATCCCCAAAGAAATAGACAGTTTTGTTACGTAAAATCGAGGACGCTTGCAATTTATTAAATGCGTTTATGTTACAATCTGCCGAGTGCCAATATTTCCCCCAGTAAAAACCAGCGACTTCTGGTGTTCCAAAATGGACCATTGGCCTGCAAGGTGGGAGTTGATCCAAGGCGCCACTGTGTACGATAGACTCTTTACCTAAGGCATTAAGAAAGGTAACATATAAAAAAAAGTCGAGTATGCTTTTAATTACGGAAACGAAGTATACCAGGTAAATTTAATCAGATACTACAATTCCGATTCTATTCTGCACTAATGAATAATAAGTGTACGTTTCTCCGTACAATTTCGCATATTGTTCAGTCTACTTGAATAAAAGTTCATTCAATATTAAAAATAGCGGAAACATCATTTTCGGCGGAGACTGCCATTCATATTACAGTATCGGGCACGGGGTGTTCCACTTTTATCCTTCAAACTCATAACGCTCCATGCCTATGAAATGATTATAATATTCCTTTCCAAATATCCATTTCTGACACGCTCTGAACCTGGTAAGCCATTTGAAGACCTTATAAATATATAATGTTCCATGTTTCTTCATTTCTCATACCTACATCACAAGCCTCAAAATATACCCTACCCCCCCCCCCCCAAAAAAAATCAGGGGGGGGAGAGATAGTGTGCTCATGATGGACGTCACTATAGAGTGACAAATACATCCATTAGTTTACGGGATACACGCCAAAGTATTAATTACTGAACCATCGTGGCCTTTCATATATATTTTTTCGCTGAATGTCGAAAATAATGAGTTTCCTAAAATAATTTTGAATGTCACTTAATAAAAAAAAGAGGGTATATAAAAAAATCTACATTTTTGAAAACTTAGGGAAATAACAATGAAATAAATGTTGTTTTATCCAATGGAATTCATGACTCCCCACTCCTACATGTACATACATGTTGGCTATCCGAATATTTGCTTTTAACTTCAAACATGCATTCCCTCCTTACACATGTATCTCCATTGTGCGTTTTACTGTACTCCGCTATTATATAAAAATGAACTGTTGAAGACACATGCACTCTGTAATACTAGTTTTACATTTTCAGATGAGTTTTGCTCAGCTCTCAAGATTACTCCTGATGACGAACAACAACAACAATATTTTTAACTCGTTTAAACTTCTAATGTATTTTTCTTATGGTTTAATCATTTCGTTCCATCTCCGTGGAACTTCACATTCTATTAAATTATAAAATTTGTGTAAGCCCAAGGAGATCTCTCCCATCTCCCTGTTACAAAAAAAGGACTTTCGTTGGAGCAAGGAGCAAATACTTCGTGATATTAGTTTGAAATTACATTGAAATAATGGTACCAAGCTATAAAGTTTTAGGTTAATAGTAGTAACAGAAATACAAACAGATCAGAGTAATTATGAAGGTCAACATGTTGTCCAAAGTGTCATAACGTGTGGTTTATACAAACCAATATGAAGATGAAAAGCACAGGGAAATGTAGAACACATTACTAATTCCCATTATGATAATGTTTTTTCTTACCTCTTTTCATGACATGATCGAGACAATATGGTTGATTCTTAAGAGACATAGTTTATATCTTCTCAGAACTTTATAGATCAATGTCTATGACACTTTAGATTGATCAATAAAGTTCTGATAAGATATAAACTTTATCTGTCAAGGATAAACCATATTTTCAGAATTATTCCATTAAAAGAAGTAATGAAGATTCCAACAATTTGGGCAGCAGAGTGTATTGCTGATGAACACAATGATTATCCCATTCAGTTAGCTTGTTTTCCCTGCGGGTTGTCCATTTTTACTACTTGAGGTTTATTTCGAAATAATCATCACTGTCAATTGATTAACTTATTTTACAGAGGTGTACCCAACTTTGATACTGTTATTAGTCATACCCCTCCCCCTCTATCTCGTCCACCCTTCTTCCATCTTCATTCCCCTCCTTCATTGCTCTCCCTTATCCTCCTCTTCCTTCTCTTTCTCCTCTTCCTCCTTTTCCTCCTATTTTCCTCCTTTCTTTATCTCCTCCGTTTTCCCTCCTGATTCCCTCATTCTCATTCCCTCTCTCCTATACACCTCTTCTCCTCTTTTTCTTCCTCCTCATCTATACCCTCTCCCTTTCTCTCCTTCACATAATACTTACCCCCTTCTCCTCTCCCTTCCTTTTCCTGCAATATATTAAGTCTCATCTTTTCTTTAAAACTACTAAACAATATAGGCTTTAATTTTTTTTAAAACAATTTTAGCTTTTTATATAGTTATCGTCCGTTATTAGTATACATGTCATAAAAAATCCTATATACACAGCTACCGTTAGAAGTACCTATAGTGTTTACTTTGGAGTAATTTTCCTTTTAGCCGTTCGTTATAAATTAATGTTTGATTCGAAGAATAATGTTGGCCAAATGAAATCGATTTCTACTAGTTTCTCGTCCTCTCCTCGTTCCCTTTTTGACCCGCCTCAATTTTCTGTTACACTATATCTCTTTATTTTGAAATGAAATTGATAACAGTCTGAAGTCATCTAGATAATGAAATAACAGAATTTTACATTGTTTTGAGCCTCTGAAGTGTATTTACAAATGAAATATATCCAGAAATATATACATAAAATATCACGGAACCCCCTGCTCGTTATATTCGAAACTCTGGACGAGAAACTGGGAATCGGTTTTACTTGGCCTCAATAGCACTTGAGACAGGCCTTGTTTAAAGCTTATCTGCCATAGTTTACAGGAGGGATTAGAGCGCCCTGCAAGGTCACTGGACAGGTGGTTATCTCATCAACTCAGCTCTCAGTTAACATAAGAAAAAGAGGATCATGGGGGACCAATGGTCACCGATTAGGCATTGTTTGTTGTAAGAGGGCGCAAGTACCTACAAGTAGTGCAGTGGGCCTTTAAGTATCCAGACATCTGGAACTCTCTGCCCATTGTAATAAGAAACCTTAGGACATTGTATTCTTTTAAGAAAGCGGTTAAAACTATGTTATTGTCTAAGTATTGATCCTGTCGTGTGTAATAGGCCATTTTCGTAATGTAACCAAATTTAATGCATAAGTCTTTGTGAAGTGCCTTAATACAAATTATTTCATTCACCTGATAAGAATAATAGTATTTCAATAGTCAGAATTCAAACTGCATATATTAAGTGTTGCTAGGTAGGTCAAGCCATAATGTTTGTCCAACCTGACAACAACTAATGATGCAGTTCGGATTCTGTCTATTAAAATACTATTATTCTTATCAGGTGAATGAAATAATATGTATTGAGTCACTTCACAAAGACTTATGCATTGAATTTGGTTACATTACGAAAATGGCCTATTGTACTGTATTCATGTTCGTGTGTACATTGACTGTGTGTTCAACAATGATGTGTAATCGTCCATGACCTAGCATCGTTTATCCATTAATGAATGAACCTACATTCAATCAGCAGATGTATGCGATTTATTATTACAAACGCTATAAGAATAACATGAATATATCGACACCCTTCGGAAAATCGAGTAAGGCAAATATTTGGAAAACATCAAAGATCGTACAGTGAATATAGTGGCCCGGTCGTGTGTGGCCTTGACACGGCAGACACCTGGTCATACACTGTTTATACATATACTAACACACATCAAACAAAAAGACTCAGGAAACGCATGAAAAAGTATTATGTTAGATGAAAAGTTTAGCTTTACATTACACCCCCCTCCTCCTCCCCGAACCACACTTTGAAAAGGTTTGGCAATATTTTCCAACACTTTGCCAAACGTTGTGTCAATAGTCAACTCGACCATCTCTTGGGTAATATTTTGCCCAGTGGTATTGGTAACGTGGGTACGTGCATACTTGTTTTGTATTTTGCCCCCGGTGGGGTCACTCAATGTGACTTAGGGACCGCATGACCGTCACCAAAATTGCGGGAAAATGGGTCAATTCAAGCAATGTCTGCGGACAAAATATTCCTCGAAATATAGAAAATAGGGGTGCACAGGTGTCCTCGAAATTGATAAATAGGGGTCAGGAACAGGGAAAAGAGAAAACCGGGAAGAAAAAAAAAATGTAAATGTCTTGTCCTTGAAATATGGTAAAATAGGGGTAAATTTGCGAAAGTGTCCTTACAATCTTATAAATAGGGGTATTCCAAAGTACGATTTTGTCCTTGTTTTGACGTAAAAAAGGGGGCTAAATTTCACGAAATGTCCTGAAATTGACAGCAAAAGGGGGTTATTTGCATTTGTGGTAACGGTCATATGCGTCACTCTCTGCGGGGGAGTGACCCCACCGGGATTTTGCCCAACAGCTGGTCAAGATTTTCCCAACAGATCGATGGGCTACCGTAGTCGCCGAGTTGAAGGGTCATATCTTTGCCCACATTTTGGACAAAATACGAAACAACTATGCACGTGTGAAGTAGGGTACTTACGTTCAATACCACTGGTCAAAGTATTGCCCAATAGATGGCTGGGTTGACTATTGGCACAACGTTGGGCAAAGTGTTGGAAAAATATTGCCCAACCTTTTCACAGTGCACAACCAAAACTCACCTGGCAAATGGTGGACTACAAATCTGTTTTCAGTTCCGGTTATCTTTTTGTCGCTCCTAAATATTGTGCAAATATTATGAAATGCTTGGTCAATACTTTAACATTTGTCTAACTCTAGATAAAGGTGTAAATATCACGTGTTAAGATTGTGTTTGACACTTCTGCTGAACCTTTGGGCAAATCAAGTGAAGTATTTGCAAATAAAATGATTTGTATTAATTTTTCCAAATTTGTGATCAATATATAGTCGCTTTGAAGTCTCACAAGATAATTCTTGAGCCAAAAAGGTTGTAATATGACTGGATATGGAAAAGGAAAATATAGAAGAAAAACAAAAAAACAACAAGAGCAGCAGCAACAACAGAAGGAGGAAAAAAAAGAAGACAAAGAAGAAGAAGGGGTGTCACGGACCAAAAGAAGCAATGGAGAAAAAGGGGGGAAATTCATATCAAGAATTTTTGTTCCCTTTTACTCATAACCGTACTCTCGAGCCATATCATTTCGGATTCAATCGTTCATTTTCATTTCGTGACTGACACCATTTTGTTACCGAATATGAATAGGAGGCATAGTTCGATCCCGGATCGATGGGCATGTGCCCTTTGGTAAGGTATCGTCTTCAGTTTTCTTAGTTTATTGTTTCATATTTCACATTTTTTGCAATGATTTAAAAAATGGTTAGTACAGATAACAAAATTATTAACAGAGACAAAATCAGAGAGTGAGCACTTGATATATCATTTTGTTTGTATGCATTATATAAAACTGAACTAAAAAGAAGAGAGGAATATGGAGGGGCCTATTGTGAAAGCTATGCTTGTGAATTATAGGTCCCAAAGGGTTCCATCGAAACGGGCTTAGTTATGAACGGCATTAAAACTCTCCCCAAAAATAATAAGTGTAGGTACGCTGGAAGATGAGATGTATTCCTGCCTTTTGATGTACAATATTCCATAAGAAAGTGTACAAGAGATATATAAATGAAGATATTCTTGGCATGACGTAATGCCTTTTAGCATGGCATGAGCGCATCAATTAATGTGATATACCAGGCGAACTTGTACATGTTTCGCGCACCAAGCTTTAGTCGGAAATACTTTTTTAATTTAACAACAAAACGTTTAATTTTCAATGAGGGAAAGTCATAGCTGAGAAGGTTAACATTTTATTTGGGGGAAAATATATAACAGGGGAACAATAATTTTGTATACCTCATTTGAAAAAAGCTAAAATATATTAGTTGACAAATCGTTTTGACAAATTGAATAAATTTTCATTCTGACGACTGTAGTACAAAGGATAATATCAGGTGTATGAATAAATTCATATACACATCTGAGAAGGAAACATCCATCAATTTGAATACAATTCCTTGATAAACGACTGCGAATAAAAAGAAAGAAAATGGCCATGCCTATGTCGTGCTGAGAAACTGTGCATTATGCTAATAAAATAGCTTGCTTTATACCTCTCTGATGTATGCAGAAGGGGAATCTTGTAGATTAATGGGCAAGAATACAATAAATCCCTGAGATTAAATGAAGTTATTTCTTAGCGTGAGATTTCCCTACCCCCTTATTGCATTTTTAAAAGCATACACATATTTCTTAGCTCTTAGCAGACATGTAAAAATCGCATGACCAGAGCTTAGTTAACGTTAAAGTTAAAGAAAACCTTACCCCAAGGAATGAATTTAGTTCTGAGAGAGTTATTGCGTTCTAGCCCATCATCTATACTTGTTTATGAACTCTCAAGTCTCAAAAGTTACTTATTGTTTGTTGCTGTTATGAATTTATGTTCATGATTTTGTTATTATTATTATTATTATCATATAATTATATATTTTATAAACTATTGTTCCTCATTATGTTTAAAATGGCCTTATGGAAGACCACCATTATTGGTGAGAATGAGTAACCCTATCTTAATATCAGAAATAAATAAATAAATTTTAAACGAAATCTTCAAGTTTTCCCACTAAAGTGGATGAGAAAGGCATAAAGCAAGAATAAAGTACAGTTTCTCAGCAAGACATGGGCATCGCCATTTTCTTGATAGCATGACGTACTATGCGAAGTCGTTTATCAACTAAATGTATTCAAATTTATGGATTCTTCCTTCCCATGTGTGTGTGTGTGTGTTGTTGAAGCACATGCTATTATCCTTTGTACTCCAATTGCCAGAACGCAAATTGCATAAATAAGTTGGTGCTGTTCTGGGGTGAAGGTTTAGCAAAAATAAACTAGATTCTTCAACCGCTCTATTTTAGTATTTTCAAATTAGTTACCCTATAATATATTTTTCACCAAATGTAACGTTTACCTTCTCGGCTATGATTTTCCCTCATTGAAAAGTAAAGGTTTTTTTTTATTGAATTAAACATTCTTTCCAATTAAAGCTTGGTGCATGATACATGTACAACTTCACCTGGTACGTCACGTTTTTTAAAGAAAATGGCTGCCCCCATGTCATGCTAAAAGGCTTTACATTATGCCAAGAAATCTTCATTTAAATATTTCTTGTGCATGTTCGTAAGATAACGTCAATATCAGAATACCTACACTTATTATTTGGGGTTACATAGGTTTGCTGTAAGGCAGGCGCGGATCCAGGATTTCTTAGGGGAGGGGGCCCAACTTTTTTTTTTTTTTTTGCTCCCGAAAATTTGAAAAACGCGCCGGCCAAAAATTCGCTCAGTGGGGGGGGGGGGGGGGGGGGGTAGTGAGCACATTTTTTTTTTGATCCTCAAAAAAAATTCAATTTGCACCCCCCCCCCCCCCCCTTGAGCGCCAGGGGGGCCCAAGGGGGGCTCAAGGGGGGGCCCGGGCCCCCTGGCCCCCCCCCCCCTGGATCCGCCACTGCTTTAAGGACCTCAAAATAAACTTACCATGTAAAAGAAAGTCGTTCAATGGCGGATATCTTATTCTCGTTACTGTGCCCCACCTGATGGTCCATTACCAAATTACTGCAGGGGAAATTATGTGGCTTCACACAAAACCAAGGGGAACCAGTACTGGCGTCGGTGAAGTTGCAGCTCTCTTTCTGTCCTCGTTCGAAATTGATTAAATTAAAAACGAAAAAAAGAAGAAAGGAGTCAAGGAAAATGGAGTGTAAGGTCTGGAATATAGGCGTGTATATTATTTCCCCAATATCTCTTGTATAATGCGGAAGCAAAGACAAGTCTAAAATAAGTTATGGTTACATGTAATGAAAGGAAAAAACAACATGTGGGACTACATAAACTTTAAATTATTGATACACGTTCCATTCAAGATTATAATTTTGCACAACTTGATTATATTATATAATATTGACAAAATAGCAAGTCAAACGATATTTGGTCATGTTATGTCAGCGACTTTGCATGTTGCACACGAGGAGTAATTTTCCAGACGTATGACTGCGTCAGTGACTGGAGAAGTCTTTGACGCATCATGTTAGAGTGGCATTGTACATAGAGAAAATGCAGAGTGCAATAGCGCAAATGATGCGTTGAATCACTGGCTTAAAGTCCGTTTAGATATGCAGCGTCAAACCGCGATGGTTAGATAAGCAAACAAAATTATGATGACAAAGGCGTAAAGTTGATACGCTTCATATTTCTGTATGTTATAACAAAGACTTTTGTGCGCGCACTTGCCTTCATTTATTCGTAAATACAATCGAATCTGAACGGGTTTTGAGAGATAATTAAATTTTATCAACGGATCGATTAGCGCAGATTTCAACGCATTACCGGTATTACCTCTGGTACTGTCACATTTAGCATGTTCAGATCCATGTTGCAAAAAGTCTCCTCAGCTTTCTTCGGGTCTGTCGAATAAAACCGACCTTTGAAGTTACTCCTGATCACTTCTTCTTTCTGAAGTCTTCTAAGCACGTAATTGGCCTCACTTGAATGGACTAAGGTCACCTGAATGCCCACTACCCCTGCCCACTTCAACGTAAAGAAGGCGCTATACGTTCCATTCCCATGGTCGATTACCTCACCGTCTGACATCGAGCTAGCCTGGAAAGTGGAATTTCGGGTGAATATTTTTGCGCGGAAATAGTCTCCTCCGTAAGTCTTGCTCTCATTGTGCCCGTTCCTGGCTTGGATGATCAACCCGAGCTTATCGCAGACGAGATATTTCGAGAAACTCTCCTTGTTTGTTCCAAAGATTTGAAATGTCGTGAAATTAGGATGAGTCATGTCGAGCAAACTAGTCCATGTTACTTGACTGGGGATGTGGTCCTCGTACGTATGGTAAATACGCTTTTGTTCAAACTGAAGATTCGGGCAAAAAGGATGAGCAGATAGATTCTTCTTAACTTTCGACAAGACCGGATGCTAGAAATCAATAAATAAGATTTGTTCAGCTTTAGACAGCTAAATGTCCACATTTCTTTACAAATATGCTCTATACATACTTAAATGTGAAAATAGGTATTAAAATGCATTAGTTTTTTTCGAATTCGTCATCGCTTTCCTAAATGTTCATGTCTGTTGTTGGATCTTCAAGGAAGATAATTACTTCATGTACCAGAAAGATTGTTCTATTTGAAAACAGAAATGTACCCACTCCCAAAAAACAAACAAATGGAAGAATAGTTCAAAACGGAGAGTAGGGTGGTTGATTTCATCTCAAGGCATGTTTGTGCTATTTACCCTTATATCCCAAGCAAGGTCATTCTTTATCATGCAGGTTAATTTTCTTTGTGCAAACTTTTGTTAACGTGTACGTGCTCTTATGAAAGGGATAGCCAATAAAGACTTGTTCTCATAGGTCTCGGTAAACAGCAGCGATTTATTATGATTTTTGTCAGCTCACTTGACCGTACTGCATTTCATAATATTGTATGTTCAAAACGCATCAAAAAGGGTGAGGGGGAGGAATTCAAGAAGACATACATGATGACTGAAGCAAAAATCTGAGGCTAAATTGTTAATGGTCCTGCATTTTGCTCTTCATTCAGTATTATAGTCTGACTCTGACACGTATTACTTGTATACAGTCATGTACAGTACCACTGGCGTACTGATGCTGTGGGGGGGGGGGCAATACAAATTCAAACGTGGTTTACAAAAATATGTTGCTGAAATGACATGATTTTCCCAAGAAAAAGTTTTTGCTCATTACGCCACTGTACCGTGCGTATACAAAAAAAAATCGTAACCAACTTTGGTAGCTTCTAATTAAGAAGTTATAATCTATGTGATCTTGAATCATATTTCACGGTTAAGGGTAACTAATATTCTCTCTAATGATACCATATTCATAACTATGCTTCCACGGATGACTGAGAAGCAGGCTTTTCAAAAAGTATTGTCAAAATCCTCTTGTGTACCAAGCTTGGCCTGAAGCAATGAATGTGGGTCAAAAGCCATTTTGTTTCCCAAAGAAAATTGCTCGCTTATTTACATTGAGTATTAGGTAGTTGAAAAGAAAAGATGTCCATAGCAACTCAAATCAAGGGAGTGCTTATACAAGCAAAATGTATATTTTCTCCGAGGCGCACCACAAATGGAATTTTTGTGTGTGAGATAATACAAAAACTGAGTGTCCAATTTGAAAGAACATCCAATTTAAATGACAAAATCATCTTGTTTGATCAGAATCGGTTCAGAGACGACTGAAATATCCATGAATATAACCATTTCTAATATTTGTGGGGCCTCACAAATATTCCATAATTTTTAACCAGCCTTTCAAAAAGCTAAATAGCGCTTTATACGTTTTAATTTAGCCAATACCAATGTTGTTTTTTTTTTCTTTTTGAACCATCCAACGTCTACGTATATCTATCGAGATCGCAATTATTTTGCGATTATATGGAAGTGGGAAGGAGGACCGAGGGTTCGTGGTTGTGGCCGCGGGAGTCGGCAGACCTCGGAAACCACCCACTGTTCGAAATTTAAATTTGTGTTTCATACATATTTGCCCGAATTCACAAAGGAGGTTTGTCGACAAACCTTGGTGTTCGTGCGTCATATGACGCGTTTCGACACGTTTCTACAAACCAGGTTTATAAAAAAAACGCTTAAAAACGCGTCATATGAAGTACGAAAACCAAGGTTTGTCGACAAACCTCCTTTGTGAATTCGGGCCTATGTGTTTCCTCTTGCAGGTGGGTTTAGTAACCTTTGAGTTTTCATTCACTATTCGAGATAAACACCGTATGCTCCTTACGCGTATGAAATGGTCCAGTGTGAGCAGAGGGAAAATATATCATGATTCAAGAAGTTAGTAGGCCTATATGCTGTTCAAAATAATCAAAGAATGCCCGATATGGGTTGAAACAAGATTCTGTGAAAGCCTAGATACGGTGCATCGTTTGAAACAATGAATCATTAAAGCACGATGCATAATTGAACTTTTAAATGAATTTAAGACCCACAAAAAGCACATGCATATAGGCGGCCTATGGCCTGATCGACTCTCATTATTCCGTTCCATCAGCCCAAACTTGGTCCAAGCATGGACCTTCGTAGGCGATTTCGACAACGCCTTTTAAAGACCCTGGCGCTCAATCACCCGTGGCATAAAACTCGAATGGGGTATCGTTCGTCAGGAAACAATTTACTCTTCATCATGAAATATATTTTAAAGTCGTATTGGTTGTGACTTTTTTAATTACGAGCTACCAAAGTTGGGTTCACCTTTTTGTGTATACGCATTATAAAATGGGCTCCGGATTCCTATTAGACATAAGCAGCGCCCTGCATTTGTTTATTATAAATCTCTCATTTTTGGCGTGAATCTTTATGCACTCTGATAACTGTTAATACAAATGACTTGGTGTTCCTTTTGAGAATAATTTTCCACATAATATTAATAATGAATATTAACTATATAGTACATGTGGATACCACGGCAATAAGATAAATTGTAGTTCTTTAAGAAAATATAGAAACGCAATTCGGGTCAAATATACCTTAAATGAAATAAAGACAAAGTTGAGTATGTTCATGCCAATGTAAGCACCTGGTAGAAGAAACTAGGAAAGACTGACTATTGAGAATAGGTATATTATTTCCCCAAGGCGATCGATTTGTTTTAAAAGGTGATCATTAATTATTGGGCAAAGAATTTACCGACATTGGACACTGGGCAGTTTGGTCGGACTCATTATTGTCCCCCATGGTGGTCATATTTAACCAAATTTTTAGGAGTGTATTTTGACCTACCATAAACAATCTTGATGGTTTGCTCTTGTAGCGAAGAGAAGTATCGGTGGATAGGCTGTCCAGTCCTGACAAGTACAATGTTGTGAAGACAGTAAGGATCGACATCAATGAAGTGACTGAGAGATATAACTGCGTCTTCGTCAACGCCATCTTGGATTAGTCAGAGGTAGATTTGACGTGAATCCAGAGAGTGAGGCAAAATATCAAAATTCAAAACAATTTATAAAAAGTCTCCATTAAAATGACAGGAAACACAGTGATAAGGATTGAACTAAACCCGGTGCTGGCTGAGTCTATAAGATTAAGTTTAACGAAGGACAACTTTAATTCCAAGATGTGATTTTGTTTTAGGGGCACTTTGGGTAATGCAAAATTATCTTGCTGGATCGTTTAATTAATACAAATATGTGGAACAATTTTGAGGTTAAATGTCATATAAATAGCATTTCAAGGCAAAAGTCGCACTTTCGGGCCGAATTAAAAAAATGTATATTCATGTTTATACACCGTTGCCCATATTGGAATATTTATGACTCTTTAGATACACTGAGATTATATAAACGTTATATATCAAGAAATCTTGACTAACATTTGGCTTGTCAAGCAGTTAGTCCATCCGAGTTTAAACTAGTCCATCCAAATGTATAAGCTAGTCCAGCGAGCATGACTAATGTCAAGCTAGTCCATCCAATAAGTCTGGCAAATCTGACTAATATCGTAGCTAGTCCGTCAGGTTAGTCTAGCAAGACTGACTCGCTTTCACGTTAGTCCAGCAGGAATGACCAACACAAATGTTAGTCAAGATGAGCAACGTCTGAAATAACATTTTGTTAGTCCAACAGACCAACTTTAGTTGTCAGTGAACTTGAATGGATATCGTACTATTTGGAACCGAACTGTATTAAATGCCCTTTTAAACATTTTTTTGGAAGTGTCAGTGTATGAAGCTACTGGAAATTGATTTTTTATTTTTTTTATTCAAAAATTGTATCAATTTTGATAAAAATGGATGAGGTACCTTTTGAACCCGAGCTCTTCATGTATGAAATGAATGCAAGTGTCCTCAAACTCACCCCTAGCCCTCCAAATCCCCTAATAGATAAATACAAGAAATACGTCGATAACCGCTCCTGCCTTCACACAGTTAATGCAAACAAAATTGCGGGCAGCCGACGCTATTTGTTTTGCAGGCGTACCCATATAATAAAGACTACATATAAGTAGGCTATATTATCGTCATATTAAATGCACAAATATTTGCCTCGTTCCAATGTCTATTACAAATAATTGTATTTCATTAGTCATGGTTATACATAGCTCTTCCTGGTTTCACGTAGAGAATTAAAACAGAAAGATATTTGCCCCTCATCGTTAATATTCATAAAGGCTACCTAGGGGGCAAAGTAGGTTTTTCAGACATGAATGATGTTAAAGGTCGTTGGGTATTAACGTGTTCATGGCACCTCCCTGCACAATTTCTAGGTGGACGACCTTTGCAATATGCTGCTGAAATAAAATGGCCATCACGTATATCTAAGTTGTTGAACAATTTGGAGATGACTTTTTAAGGGAACTTCATTTTACCATGTGTGAGGTGTCATTTGAACATTTCCTACAAGATGATTTCACGTTTAATAGGTTAAGGGTAATTTGCATTACATTAATGGACAAAAAATAAAGATTTTACAATTCTTTCCGAAAATATGAATTTCCCAAAAATACATATTCCTCCATATTTAAAGGGACTTGGTAACATTGTTCAGAAAGTGGTGCTGAAAGGTAGTGACTTCAATGCTAGATGTACAAGTAAAGATAATCTGAAAATTTGAGTGAAAACGGACCATTATTAACGATACAAATTGGGAAAAACTGATCTGATCAATTCCTTAATTATAATCTATATTATTACCGTTTAATTACATTTTAGGCGAATGTAAACTGTCACGAGGCAATAAATTGGTTCTACATACTATTCCAGACATTTAATAACCTGTTTTATGTTTTTTTTTTCATGGAAAAACGGTTGGGGAGATTCAAAAATGGTTGGGAGAATTTACTGTTAATCACTGTTAGAAAGTGTCATACATTGACGCTTTCAGAGAAAATCATAGTTCATCTTCGTGGTTTGAGAATATTTTCAGGATTGTTTGCATGTCAGAGGGTAAGTACAGTATAAAGAAT